CGTGTCAAAGCGGGGTGGGTAGGGCCCACATTTTTTTCAGTTTTGATAATTTTATAGGTTAAGTGAATCCGGCTGTAAGAAGTATTTTAACTGCCGGTGGCACGGAGGTGATTCACGTCTAAAGCTTATAGTGCCACACACGTAAGGCGCTCCGGACACCTGGGGTAGGAAAACCAAACGTGCGGGAAAGTATAACAGCGCTATGCTATGTAGCACGTACACATGTACACAGTTGGGTTTACAGTGTTGATGCCCTCCGCAATTACATAGCAGCTACAATCGATCGCAGTGCTTTTTACAGTGAAGCACTAATGAGGACTTTGTGGTGTCACGATGTGTCTGCTCTGCTGGCTCTGCTCCTGTCATTTTCGGACGCGTCCCATTTTAATGACACCGCCAGTTCATCACCAGCTGCGGTCCAGCGATGGCCCCCGTCAGACACCTCCTGCTGTGCTTGTTTCTGTGCGACGGGCTCCCACGGCACTACGGAGCAAAGTCGCGGGTAAAGAACGTGCGCACCGCGCATTGTTGGAAACGCAAACGAGTAAGGCTGTTCTGAATGTGTTTTTATCTCCTGGAAATATGTAGAAGGGCCAGACGTTTGTACTTGAAATCCGAGACGTGAAAATATGTCCAGAGAAAAGCGCATTGGCTTGGATGAATATTACCCCGACCCTCTCTGGCAAAAGTCAACAGACTTTCTTCGATGGCGTCGCACTATTCGATAGAACCGCGACTACCTGGTCAGAGGTAAGGAATGAGGGCTGGACCGCTGACTTCTGCGCCACCTATCCCCTTCTCTTCGCGTTGCACTTTTACAGATGAGCGTCAAGTTCACAAAGTGTCACGGTGGAGTTTCCTCTAACAATTGCGAGTATGCGTCGGATTGGGCTAGGAAAAACAACGTCTGCGCAGAGTTTTCCTCTCCCCTTACACCATGGTATTCCCTCCTTCGCATGATCAGTCCGCCGTGGAAATGCCCCACCAAAGCGGTACGTAGCATTGGCCGACAAATCATACCCCTTTTTTTAAAAAGAAAAAAATCTTGTACCTTTGGTACCCACGTTTCTACTGTCATTCCGCCACTTTTGCTGTTTTACAGGGAATATACGAATTCCGTAACACCACTTTCGACGCGTCGGCGTTCACTGCATTGGCGGGACCCTACGTGCATCCTGATGTCACGTGGTTAGTGCGCGCACTAGTGAAGGACCAGGACCGGAAGCTGTTCATGTGCACGGACATTACAGCGCGAATCCTCCCTTCAGCCAGAAAGAGTCGCAGCTGAGGACAACGTCGACGTTTTTAAATTTATTGCAGCAGAATTGTCGCTCTTTGTTGTTTTTTGTTGTTTATTATCTGAGTTGTTGGACATGTGTCTTGTTGAAGTCTAATAAAATGAATGCAAACAGACAGTTTTCACGTAGTGACAACCCACCCTTTATTTTGGTCACGTCGGGAAGATAAATTGATCGCCAAAATAGCAGCCGGGATGAAGAACAGAAGGCACGTCCCAGAAGCCGCCCTAAATCCGTTCTGAAAAATTAGTAGCAGGGATAATGCACTGACTTACAATGTACTATTTTGTGCGTAAGCTGCCTACAACTGTCATACATAACTTACGTACACAATTTGTGCGAAATTATATACAATACTGTACGTAATTATCCAATATCGCTTTAAACTCTGCGTACGTTAAGTTTTTGCATATAGTTGTACGTAAGCTACATATGAAATAGTACATAGCAATTCTGTGTGCTGGAAAAAAAGGGTTGGCCCCAGCCCCTCTCTGTGTCACTTTTCCCGGGTGAGACGCCTGGCGGCTATGCAGTCCCGTCGAGCAGGCGTACCGTGCGGGAGTGCCTACCAGCAAGCTTGCAGGGGCTCTCAGCCTCTCGCTAGCGTCACTCGGAGACCTCCGCCTCCTCCCTCTGCCCAGAAAAGTTGTTTGCTCCTAAACGAGAGTCTACTTCTTTTCAACTACTTTTGTCAGTTCAGCTACGGCCGATTGAAGTGATTTGACTTTGGATTCTTGCTCTTATTGAAGCATTTCGACACCTTAGACTGGAACGCGTACGCAGCCCATCCGCGCGTTTCAGAACTCACGCAACGCAGTCGTTCACTCCACACAAAACACGCGTAGTTCGAGATCACCGCGCGGGCCGTGTCGAGCGGCGGGTTTTAGCGGGTCACCCGCCTGATCCAGCGCAGCGACCTACGACGAACTACGTGAGTTTGCAAAGCGCGGCGGCGAACTGCGGGAGTTCTGAAACGAGCGGATGAACTGCGTGCGTTTTAACGTTAGTGAATGGTGTCGATTTCTGTTTCAGTTTTGACGTCCACCTCGCTCTTCCCTGACTCAAAGCACGCACGGCGCACGGCGCAGCGCACCGCGCAGCGCCACTAGAGAAACCAAGTATCGTTGCGCGACTCCAGTGAAACCACGTAACACATTTTTTGACGATTTTTTTAGGAACTATATATTTCAATAGCAGGAAAGTTTCTCTATCATAGGTTTCAAAAATCGACCAAAACTAGAGATACGTGGTTTCACTAGAGTCGCGCAACGATACTTGGTTTCTCTAGAGGCGCTGCACCGTGCGTGTTTTTAGTTAGGGACGAGCGACCTGTAAAATTCTTGAAAATGTAATGTTTTCAATAGATAAAGTTGAGGCAAATAAATATTAAATATGACTTTGGTTACTCATACTAAGTTGTTGGTATTAGTTCACACTGCTCACCTGCACAACCTAACCTATCTTCTCCAATTCGTTCCCGTTACTTGTATACCCCCAGTAGCATAGAACTGTCGTATGACTGTCGGACAACAGTAGAAAAAAGATACGAACTATCGTTGCGATATACGAAATGAGAAAAATGATTCTATCGGTATACTATCATTTTACCTCGAAAGGAAAATCTTTATCGGCCAGCTATCGTAATGGGAGCGAAAAACCACTGTTGTGGATTCGATCAGGAATCGATAAAAATACAACAGAATGGTAGATGGTTTAAATTTGATAGACCAGCGACTATGGAAAAGCCATCACTTATCACTGTGAAAAATACTCGTAAGTTTAGAGGAAAATTTCCCAGGACGTGAGTTCGTAAAATTACAACTTACAGTTGTAAAATTACAATCACTTCCTATCGACTTGGAATTAATCGAGGAGGAAAAATGGTTCGCCGTAAATTGACAACATTATTTTGAAATTGCAAATTACGAAAAACGTCGTAACTTAACGAGGAAATGTTTCGCAGTGTTTGATTTTCGTTATCGTCATAATAATTTGACGATAGATAAAAATCACACTATGTGCGACAGTTTTGTGTTACTAGGGACCAGGGTTGGCATAAAGAATTAAATGGTGCTAAATGGGGCGAAAAGGGGCAGAATGTAATACAGCTGGGGACACCTACCGACTACAATACACTACTACAAAATTCGCAGTCGACGGCTTCCTGAGCGTGAGCTAGGGCGGGCATCGGCTGACGCGCATGACGCTGTGGTGTGACGTGAAGTGCAATATTTTTTGACCGAATTTGACTCAAATTAGATTTAATTTAATACTCTATGTCAACCCTGCTAGGGACAGTGGAATGAGAATGTCCACTTCTAATAAAAGTGAGGAATAAACAAGAAAGATCGAGTGTTCTTCATTAAAAGTGATGAAATATTTACAGAATGTCGTGAACGACAGAGAAGCAGTTGACAATGTGTGAAAAGTATCTAATGTCGCAGAGTCCTCAGATTACATCGTTTTCAGATTACACATTTTTTGACGACCACTCTCAAAATGTAGTTTCAACTGTAGTTGAAACCGTAGTCTACACTACTCTATTGACCGAAGCGCCCAGGGTGGCCGTAATAGGCAGTTTAAGGATTATCCACAGAGTACGTCTGTCATTCGCCGTTAAGTTACGAACCTGCAAAGTTTGTCTAAGCAAGCTCTCATAGCGCCTCTTACGTAGGCAACATATCGCTTGCAGTGCATGGGTGTACTGCGGGCTGGCCTACCCTGAGCATCGCAGGCGCCGAGCTTCACCTATTTACCGATATTGAATATGAAAAAAGGCTACGTCGAGGGACGTATCGTGAAAGCAAATGATACAAATTTAAGGATATGTCCTTGTCCTAATTTTCTCTCATATTTTGCTGTCATTTGTTTATGGCTGTTTGTTACTTGCTGTCCTGCAATTCGCCGGACTAGCGGCATGGCATAGTGGATGAGATAGGGGGCGGCGGACAGAGCGGCCGGCATCCGTGCGGCTCAGTATTGTTGGCTACTTATTGTTGGGAACGGCGGGCGCGACCAGCGGACATCTTCTCGCCCCCTATACATTTGGGTGATGTCATGCGCTTGGTTCTCTGTCCTTATCGAGAGTAAAAGCTAGCTGACACCTTAAAGTTACTTATATATTCTTTATGTTTAGTCAAAAGTTTTTAAGGTATCATCAGAGTCAAGAGATAAATTCCGGTAAAGCATCAGACACTAAATCAACTGAACTGTTTCCTGATTGTATAAGTCGATTGACATTGTTCCATAGGTACCCCGGGAGCTTCGCATAGGGGAGGTTTGTACTCTCCTTCTCCCAAACGTCATCCGGAAGTTCCCGATGGCAACGCTTGTGGCAGTGAAAGCATGGGTTAGTGGTTTCGCAGTAGTAGGGCGCGTAGAGGTGCAGCTCGAGCGCAGGGTCGTTCCTCTGCAGGAATAACTTGACGCTGGGGGAATGCAGACAGCCGTGGGTGCAACTAGGGCGCCGCCCCATGGCTGGCAGCAGCCTGAGAGTCCGCAGGGACGGCGCCCTCTCTCGGGTAATGCGGTTTGGCATGACCCCGTACGTACACCTCTCCGTTCATCTCTATATGGCGCAGGGCTGGCAGTGAGGGTAAAGCTTCGTACAACGGCTCCAACTGAGAGTCCTCGAAGTCACCATCGTTGTCGACCACTAGTGACGCTAACTGAGACCGGTCGGGCTGTCCTGTCAGGGCCAGGACCAAGCTGAGGCCGACGTTGGCGGGCGCATTCACCACGTCCCGGTACTGCAGGGCGCGCAGCTGGTGGGCGCCGCGCAGGAACATTTTGGCGTCCGCGACGTAGTCTGGCATCTCCCCTCTGACCCAGAGGGTGACCTCGCTGAGCGACCCGCACGCCAACGCGGCCTGCAGCCCCGGGACCAGGCCACACTCCAGCTTGCAGAGGTTCGTCACGCCGGCGAGCAGGGGCGCCGTGGCCGCCGAGCGCGGAGCGATGAAGTCGGGGTTGACGAGCTCGACCACCCGGAGGGTCGAGGTGTGCACCGTCAGCATGCAGTTGATGAAGGGCTCCAGGTGCCGCCCGAGTCCGCAGCGGAAGTGCTGCAGCGACGACGCGTGCGCCGATGCCGTCGATACGTGGAGGCTGGCTATGAAGGCTGCGCAGTGCGGGGCTACCGGGACCACGAGCGTCTGCAGACCGGCCGAGGACGCCACCGTCGCGAGCAGGACCGAGACGGAGGGGTCTAAGCGCCCGTAGAAACCGAGGTCCAGGTGGAGCCGCTTGAGCCGACCGAGGGCCTCCTGTCCGCGGACCACCAGGGCCGTCAGCCTGAGCGCGGCAACGGCGCACCTGGTCGCCGTGTACAACGAGTGGCGCCCCGCGGCCGGTAGCTTGAGGTGCACCTCACCCAGGCACGGCGCCAGTCGCAGCGCCGGACACACCCACGGGTCCGTGTGGGAGAGACGCCGGCGTCGCCACACATCCGGGTGCAGAGCAAGGTCCCCGAGACGCTTGCACACGATGCGGCAGGCCAGGAGGTCGGGCACGTCGAGGTACTGCATCGCCATGAGCAGCACGTCATCCGGTAGGTGATCCATGACCTGTGAACACATGGGGTCACTGCTGTCAGCGTGGATATTACAACAATTTTATTGTGTTTCTCGTCTACCGCAGGAGGAGGAGGAACAGCAGGTCCCCGCATAATGAAAGGACCTGACAAGACAAGCCGCGTGCAGTCTACAGCGTTTCTGTTATTTGCACGCGGGAAATTCAAAAGCAGCATAGCGTTGTGGAACGAGAAGGGTCCCAAGCACACCAGGCCACCAGCCATGATCGTTGGCCGAGTGCGCTAAGGCGTGCGTCTCGTTTTGGAGACTCGGGTTCGAGTCGAAGTGCGGTCAGGGGAAAAAAGCGTTCGAATAACGTAATAGCAACATTCTGCACGACGCGTGCGCATAGTAAAACAACCTCAGATAACACGACGCGTTTGCCTAATTCCGAAACTGTTGTGCGCACGCGGATTAACAATTAACGCGTGCGCACAGTGAGACGGTCTAAGACAGCACGACGAGTGTGGTCAACGCTGTTTCTGTTGTGCGCACGCGGCCAATAAGAACTAGTTCAGGTCCCAAGCCGAAGCGTAGCCATTGGACCTTTTTTTAGTAGTTCTCTCGCTTGTTATAATTCAAATTTTGATAGATTCAATTAGTAAACGCATGCTACAAACCTAATTTTTGAAAGGCATAATAGTATGAGAAATAAAATAATATCTTCTCACTTGGCTGCTTATATTCTCATACTGCTTGTGTCGATACGCCATCCGCCCAAGCGGGATTTGTTGTTTTCGAGTATTAGATGTGTTTGTTTTGTTCGCTTATTGTTTCGGGTTTGATTAATCCCTAAAGTGCCGTCTACAGTAATTTTCACCATATTGCTCTAACAAAAAAGTGCCACTTACTGCTTATTCTTTTGTGACTGTGTGTTTGTTGATAAGTTTCCATCTGGACTATTTGTTTTAACCTCCTGAACAGTTGGAGTTTCGTCCCGGGTAAACGATAGTAAACTTTGGTCAACACCTGAGCGAGCCGCTATCCTTTCTTGGATATTCATCTCAGTCATTCAGAATAATGCCGAAGCATTTTATTATTGTAAGTTTGAAGACAGGTATACAATTCAAATATAGTTTTCTTTCTTGCCTATCTCATAATTAATACTGAACGTCTCCACTCACAATGAAATCCGTTACTTTTGTTTGTTTGATTTAGACGGCACCAGAATGTGATATTTGCCTCGTTGAATTTGATGTGGACATCCATCGTCCCAAGTGCTTGCCCTGTGGACACACCATTTGCAGAGACTGTGTGCAGAATACTGCCTTGGGTAGGAGGTGTCCAACTTGCAGGAAGGTCAGTTTAACTGTAGTATTAAAACATCCCACTATTTTATTTATTTGTTGCACTATCACTATCATAGGAATCACTCAAAGAATACAATAGTTCTATGTTCCTTTTGTTCTTATGAACAAGTTCGAGTTGGCAAACTGCAATAGCAAAACAAATTTGAATGAATCACTGTATGCTGCGTCTGGTGAAAGAACAGCACAGTTACTGCTTGTAACGTGTGGTGAAGATAGGGCCAACAGTGTTGTTCTTTCGCGTTCTTTTGTCTGTACAATGTTTTAGGAACACACTTATATGAACGTTTGAGGAACGCACTTATATTTTATAATGAGATACAATAAATAATGTACTTACAGTACATTTCAAACAATAATTTGCTTTTGTTTAACTTTTATTACATTTTTGTGGTACAAGCGATATTTTAGCTCTAAATCACATTGTTCATTTTCATATATAGTTCCTGACTGGTCTTGGCAACCTCCCCGACAACATCTTCATGATTCGGATGATAGAGGAGGCTGTGGGTGGCCCACCACGCAAAGTCCCCAGGAGGGAGGATGTGCAGCAGCTGGAGCGGGGGGTGG